TGTGTCCCTGCCCCCAGTGGTCATAATATGGGAGGAGTGAGGTCGGGTGGGTACATGATTTGCAGTGGTCCCTCCATTGGTGTGGGAGGTATATTTGTTCACCTGCGGAGGGGGGTGTAGGGGGGCCCGGATTCTATTGGCCATCGTTTTGCTGGATGAAGATTTGGGGATCCTCTGACACATGAATGATATCATTGTACGATGTGAATTATAGAACACAGCATTCAGAACTCACCCTCTCCGCACTTTGTTTTCCAGCACAGAGCCGCCTATCAGGTAATCCTGGACGGTGTGAAAGGCGAAGCCAAGGAAAAGAGATTAGCGGCGCAGTTCATCCCCAAATTCTTCAAACATTTCCCGGAATTGGCCGACGCCGCCATAAACGCCCAGCTGGATCTGTGTGAAGACGAGGATGTCTCGGTACGAAGCACGCTGAGCGTTTTATGTCCGGGCAGTAATGTCACATCTGAGTAAACAGACCGGTTCTCCGGGCGTCGGGAGGAGAAGAGACCGGAGGGAATGTTTGTGCAGCTGCTTTGAATTGCTGGGATTTGGTTTCAGGGGCGGGGGGGCTCCTGACCGTTCGTGCTCTTTACTCCCATAGATTGGTCTGTGTAACTGACTCTTAAATGGGGATGCACCGATACCGCTTTTTCGGTATCAAGGACCGATATTTATATTTTGGTACTCGCCGATACCGAGTACCAATACTTCCGGTAGCATAGAGCCGGCTTCCCGGTCGGTCAGGAAGCCAGGCGGCGTGTCATTGCCCACCGGCCAGCTTCTTGACTGCCCGGGAAGCCGACTCCATTTTGTTAGGCCGGCTCGATGCTGATTGGCCGGGAAGCCGGCTTCCGAGCCAATCAGTCATCTTCTCCCTGCAGAGAGTGATGACTCGGTCATCGCTCCCCGCAAAGATTCCCCCCCAATCCCAATCGTGGGCAGCGAGGAGGTTAGTGGCAGACACAGCTGGCTCTAGAAAGGCAGAGCCAACTGTTGTGTAGCGGGTGGATCCCGACTATATTGTCAGGGCTGCAGTGCGATTCTGCACTGTCGGCATATAGCGGGCAACAGCCAGCTATAAGCTGAGTTTTGGATCACAGGAGGACATAGCATATACCCTCCTGTGATCCTACAGAGTACTATGGGCAACAAAGGTGTTTGGCCATAGTTCTCTTTTAAGAATGCTACTCGAAAATCCATCACAAACACTTATCTACTGGATAAGTGTCTGAAAGGGATTTTGATGGCTATCGCATGCTGCTTTTTCTTAAAAGGATAGTGTCAACTGTAAAAAAAAGATGTACTCTCCCTTTAAGAAAAGACAATGGCATGGGGTGCTTGTTGAAATCCATCACAGATTCTCTTTACTGAAAAAGTGACCGGGATGGATTTTGAGGGGTACCCCATACTGGGTGTTTTTTTTTTTTTTGTTTCCTTAAGGCTGGGTTCACACCTAGGCGTATCGAATATGCGCGTTTGTCGTGTGTTTCCGAGGGCTACTTGGCTGTATCCCAATGGAAACGCGCAACAAAAACGCCCCAAAGAAGCTCCTGTACTTCTTTGGGTGTAGGACGTTTTGTGGCGCGTTCATACGGCCTGTAATACGCCCAGGTGTGAACCATACTCATAGGAAATAATGGGATTTCGGTGTTTGAGCGTTTTGCAGAGTGTTCAAATGCGCTACAACACGCCCAGGTGTGAACCAGGCCTAAAGGTACCAACTGTTGAGAAAAAAAGGTGTACTTCCTATTTAATTGGCTCATCTGATCACACCCATGGAGGGTGGGCGACTCCGGCCCTCCAGCTGTTGCTTTAAATGCAAATCCCAACATGCCTCTGGAAATCATGCCTGTAACGGTCAGTCCTGCAATGCCTCATGGGACTTGTAGTTCCACAACAGTTGGAGCTGCCCACCCCTGTTCTAGGCGCTTTGAGTGCCCAGGGAGATGAAAGTGCTGTAGAAATACACATTTAAAAAAAAAGCTGCCAGTTATGTCGTGTGAACCTATCTTAAGCATTGATTGTAGCCCTGCCTGGTTCACTTCTGTGGACTACAGACAACATCTCTATTGCTATGGAGTAGAGTTTTGTAGTCCTAACGCTCTTATCTTAACCTGGCCATACATTAATCGTGGGGCTGAGGGGGGAAAAGAAATGCTTGACTTGATGTCTCGACAGCTGGAGGGATGGAGTTGCCCACCCCTGATTTAGAGCTTCCTTGGATGCTAGATCTAGGCTGTACACAGGGCCTCACCTCCTCTCAGAGTCCAGCATAAGCCCCGCCCTCTCCTGGCAATAAAGGAATCAGGTCATAAGCTATATGAAAGCAACCACTGAGTTGTTTTGTAGTCCTAACACTCTTATCTTAACCTGGCCATATATTAATCGTGGGAGGAAAGAAATGAGCGCCCCCCCCCCCATTCATGGTGAATCCCATTTAAATCGATACCATTCAGTCAAATGAAAAATTGACTTTTGCCGAATGGAGGGGTTCCAAACCGGGGCCACACACTGCACTTGGATAAAATGTGATCTGCGTTTGTGACAACGCTGCTCTTCAGTAAACAAAGTACAAAGAGTGAGTGTCACCCTAGTGCAGGAAGTATTCTACTGGCAGGATCATTAGGTGAATACCCTGCATGTGTAAATATTTCATAATCACACCTGACATGTCTGTTACTATAAATCATTCATAGAGGGATGCATTGGTAGAATTTGAGTGTAAAGGTCAGCTTTAAGTGCTCGTTTTGTCCAGGGAGCTAAAATAACAAAGCTATACTCACCCGAGCGGGGATCCCTTCTTGCTCTATCACCCTCCAGCCTGTCTCCTCTGCTGCGGCAATGGTATGTCCCTTGGTGTCCTTGCATGCAATACACTGCACCTTACTGTACTCGCAGGACCTTAGACCGCTGGTGCGGAGGGGGCTGACGGGAGCAGTCTAAGTGCAAGCCCTTTATTTTCTGAATGGCAGGTAAAATACAGGCAGTAGTGTGAATCAAAAAATGCTGCAGAGTCCAGTAGATAGCAGGATCCTCTATGAATGGCCCCCATTGTGTTGATGAGGGCCCTGTGCTCAGAAGAAATGTCTGTTGCCCACAGCGACCAGATGCCATGTTGATAAGATTTTGTTCCTCGACCTTTCACTTTTTGTAGTCCTTTACAGTCAAACCCATTGTGATATCTGATAAGTATGCTTCACTAACTCTTCACCCTCCTCTCTTTGTTAGATCCGGCGACAAGCTATAAAAGAACTGTCACAGTTTGCTACGGGAGAGAACCTTCCAAGGGTGGCCGATATTCTGGCACAGCTTCTGCAGTCAGGTATTGCATGACTTAAAGGGCATCATTCAGAAATCCATTCCCTGTGTTCTAGTCACTGGATCGTCCGTGTGTGTCCGTCCGTCCGTCCATCCGTGTGTGTGTAAGTCAGTCCGTCCGTTCGTGTGTGTGTCCGTCCGTTCGTGTGTGTGTTCCTATTGAGATTGTAAGCTCACCCAATCAGAGCTCTCCTAACCCTCCTGTATGGTCTTATACTGTACTGTGTCCCCTTTATTTAGTTATAGAAAATAAGTTCCTTGCTGCACTCCTTACCGGGATTCCCATGCAGATATGCGGTTGGGTGCTTGAAGTGACTGCGGATGGCGCCGCCAGCGTATAGATATTTGAAGAATGTCACCAGCACTGCAAATTAAGTCATTTATTGACGTATGCTGTCTCTCTCATTTTGCAAGCGCTTTCTCTGAGCCTGATGAAGGGGACCCAAAATTCTATATATCCCATCGCACTCCTCACCGGAAAGTGCCTCCGCAAAACTTGTAGAACCAGAAGGTAGTCACTCGCACCCCAAAGCAAAATTCAATCAATCACTTTATTGACTAGTGATGACATCTCTAAGCTATGACGACCCTGCACGGCCCCCGAAAGCGCTTGCAAAACGAGAGACGCACGCGTCAATTCATTTGCTGTGAAGAAATCTGTGTGCTGGTGACATTCTTCAAACCTTTATTTTGTGAAACGCATCAACTGTAGGTGCTGAAAAGTAGTCACCGCTCCTAGATCACTCCCGCGGTGGACTACGGTTTCGTGTTTAGTTAGCTAATTTATATTTGTGGTGTAGTCTGTCACCGGGGTGAGCTTGGAGCGGTGACTACTTTACAACACACAGGGACCATGGGGAACAAAAGTAGCCCCCCTCCAGAAGGAAGGACAGTGCCAGCACCAAGTCAGAGATGATTGGAGGATCTACAGCCGAGTGATACACAAATAAGATACATTGTTGTTAAAGGAGAAGTATGAGGGGAGTGCTTTTCACTCACCTCATAGTTCTAGCCGGCCTGTGACAATGAGACTGTCACAAGTCGGCTCAGTAGATCGGGAGGTGAGCGAACACATACCGGCGCTCGCTCACTTCTCGATTCTTTCACGGCAGAGAGCCGTGGCGGGAGGGGCTGGATTCCCCGCTCCAATCCGCCAGCGCTGACTGGCGGAACGGATGGGGGAGGGGGCGGGTACAGCTGGATCTGCCTCTAGATAGGCAGAGCCAGCTGTCACTTACACTGCTGGGCAGATCCAGGCATAATTGTCGGGATCCGCTTCAGCTGCGGCGTCTCAGTATACAGGGAGCTGTAGCTCGCGGTATACTGAGCTTAGGGTGACGGGAGGACGCTAGTTTGTGTCCTTCCGTTAGCCTAAGGAGAACTATGGGGAAAAGCCTTAACCCCATAGTTCTCCTTTTAATGGTTAAAGGACTGGAATACATTTTCAAGATTTACCTCCTGAGTGTAGTGTCACTATAACTGAAAATGTATTGCTTCCCAGTTAGTAGATTAGTGACATGTTTCCTTTATCAGCCACCAGCAGTGAAGGTGTGCAATGCTTGGCATTCCTTATGTTACTGACTAACTATGTAACATGAAAAGGAATGCCAAGCGTTGCACACCTTCACTGTTTTGTGTTTGATTAGGTCTGCTGTCATTTTATATTTACAGTCTTAAACTTCCCTTTTTTTAGATGACTCTGCCGAGTTCAACTTGGTGAACAACGCCTTGCTGAGCATATTCAAAATTGACGCTAAAGGTAAGATCGCGCTTTGTTTGCTTATCACGTTCTCTAGAGGGGAATGACTCCGGGCTCCTTCCTGGTGACTTGTTCTGTGTAGGAGGAACCCGTTTTACAAGCACTCATGATAAGTCACTGGGAATGTTTCTTTGACTTTTTTTGTGTTTTGTTTAGAACATCTTGTGGGTTAGTCTTGGAGTTGTGAGCTGCTTCAGGAAGTGCTAAAAATAAAAACCCCCACTGGTTTTAGGATTTCCATATTGCCCCTCACGAGATGACAACTCCCACAGACTAGGGAGTTATGTCAACTATAGAAACCCTACACCAGGGGGGAGCAACCTCTGCACGCCACCTGTTGTAGATCTCGTGCGGCATTACAAGACTGACAGCCACAAGCATTACTCCCAGAGGCATGATGGGACTTGTGGTTTCACTGCAACTGAAGCGCCAAAGTTGCTTACCAATGCCCTACACTCCCACACTTTGTGATCAATTGCGTCTATGGCCTGATTCCTCCTCGGACTTAAAACTCAGTACATTCCTCAAATTCCTCCACCTTTCCAGGCACACTTTTACTAGTTCATTATTATGGCGCATAACAGCGTTATTCAGTTCCCCATAGCAACCAGATTTTCATTTATTGAAGTTATATTAAAGCCTAATGGTAATAAATGTTAAAGTGACATTAAACCCTCAGATTTTTTTAACATAAACCAATACTGTAATGTGCGCCTTACTGTAATCCATGGTCGTTTCCCTTCTCTTTGCTGCTCTTCCTTTTAAATCCTCATGTCTTCTCATGCTGGGGGAGAACTTCCCTTTGCAGCTGAGTGCCTCTTCCTGTAGTGCTGGCTCAGGTTGTGAACCTTCACACAGACACCATGTATTCATTCCTGAGACAAGGCAGTCTGCTGCAAAACAAAAGTTCTGCCCCAGCATGAGAACAGATACAGATTTAAAAGGAAGAGCAGCAAAGAGAAGGGAAACTACAATGGATTACAGTAAGGCGCACATTACAGTATTGTTTTATGTTAAAAAATCTGAGGGTTTAATGTCACTTTAAGCCTCGTGCCTCCAACCTTTCTCTTCATACATCATTTAACAGACTTCAGATCAGATATAGACATGAACTGGAGGTCGCGGCCTCCAGATCCTGCTGTCCTCCAACATGGGAACCCACATGGTGCTAGGTGTTTCTCTATAGAACCTAGTGGGCAAGCAGACTCCATGTAGGCTTACGAGTAGATGGCTTATGAATAGGGCCTATGGTTACACATGCGCAGTACTGTGCATGCCGCTAACAGTAGATGTCAAGAGCAATGTCGATAGAGGCCACAGATTCCACCCACTTATTTGACGTCTTTAAAGAAGAACTCTAGGAAATGTATTTATTAATCTTTGCATCGAGGCTTTCCCCGCCCTGCAAGAGTTAAGTGCTCATTTGTGTCTAGCCTCAAAAATAACAAAGCTATGCTCAGCAGAACCTCAGAGTCTTCTTCTTTGACTGGTCCTTCCAATGTCTCTCCCCCTCCTCTGCAGGAGTCTAAGGTCCTTTAAATCAGGGGTAGCCAATGTCTGGCCCGCCCTCCAGCTGTGGTGAAACTACAAATCCCATGGTGCATCTCTCTCCCGAGAGTCATGTCTGTGGCTGTGAGAATCTTGCAATGCCTCATGGGATTTGTAGTTTCACCACAGTTGGAGGGCCGGAGTTTGGCGACCTCTGCTTTAAATTATCACGTCTGTACACTGTGTAGATGTGAGGGAAGATTTAAATGCCGCAGGGAAGCGGGAGACTGGCTGGCGGGAGACTGGCTGGCGGGAGCGGCGCGCCTTCTGGCCAGCTCAGAGCTTCCGGTGAATAAAACTTTATTGTAGCACCCAGACAAAAACCCAGACAATAATTTGAGTGAAATTATTTTTGCTGGAGTTCCTCTTTAATGATCAGGGTGTACAGTATGCTGTATAGCTTGAGGGTGTGTTGTTAGGCTTAACATTATTTAAAGTAATTGTTATCCTTTGAAGAGAGATTGGTTCAGGTTGATTGCTTTGCTATAATGCACTTTACTGTTTGCATGATTAAATAGGATTGTGTGTGTCGGGTATTTTTTTTTTCCCTTGAAGAACTGCCATAATGGACGATTTCCTCAAAGACCGTAACATACAGGGGTACATGTACCCTTAAAGGAGAAGTATGAGGTGAGTGCTTTTCACTCACCTCATAGTTCTAGCCCACCTGTGACAATGAGACTGTCACAGGTCGGCTCAGTAGATTGGGAGGTGAGCGAACATATACCAGCGTTCGCTCACCTCTCGATCTTGTCACGGCTCTCTGCCATGACAGGGGAGGGGCTGGATTCCCCCCTCCCCGCTCCAATCCGCCAGCGCTGACTGGCCGGACGGGGGAGGGGGCGGGTAAAGCTGGCTCTGCCTCTAGATAGGCAGAGCCAGCTGTCAGTCACGCAGCTGGGCAGATCCAGACATAATTACCGCTAACAGCAGCTCGCGGTATACTGAGCTTTGGGTGACGGGAGGACGCTAGTTTGTGTCCTCCCGTTAGCCTAAGGAGAACTATGGGGAAAAGCCTTAACCCCATAGTTCTCCTTTTAAGAACAAGATCACACAGGGACTCGTACGCACGCATACACATGCAGAATCACACGCAGACACCCAATGGGTTGAACTTGATGGACCTGTGTCTTTATGCAACCTCAAATACTATGTATATACTAAATTCAAATCTATTTGCTTTGTGCAGGCACCCTGGGGGGATTATTCAGCCAGGTTCTTCACGGTGAAGATATTGTACGAGAGAGAGCCATTAAGTTCCTCTCTACCAAACTGAAAACCATTCCCGAAGATGTCATGACTAAAGAGGTGGATGACTACATTTTTTCCGAATCCAAAAAGGTAATCTATACACAATGATGAGTGTTGGACATGTGGGTGAAATGGATCACTTATCCAATGATACGTGTTTGCCTCTTTGCACTATGTATGGGAACTGTCATTGCCTCTGTGGGCAAGGACAAGCATTTATATAGCACCGTTCTATCAGAATGGTGGGGGAGGGGGGACCTCAAACCAGCACAGGTCAGGTGTATTGAAATGTCTCCAAACATTTGTGCTAAGGAGTAGCTTTACTTTGCTGCATTCATTGATGGGAGGGAACGGAAAGCACAGCGCTTCTACCCGATGTGGCTGATTGATGTTTGCCGTTGATGCCGGTATATGTAATCGGTTAAAGGAGAACTATGAGATGAGTGCTTTTCACAATGAGACCGTCACAGGTCGGCTCAGTAGATCGGGAGGTGAGCGAACACATACCGGCGTTTGCTCACCTCTCGATCCTGTCACGGCTCTCTGCTGTGACAGGGGAGGGGCTGGATTCCCCGCTCCGATCCGCCAGCGCTGACTGGCGGGACGGGGGAGGGGGCGGGTACAGCTGGCTTTGCCTCTAGATAGGCAGAGCCAGCTGTCAGTCAAGCAGCTGGGCGGATCCCGGCACAATTGTCGGGATCCGCTTCAGCTGCGGCGTCTCAGTATACAGCTCGCGGTATACTGAGCCTAGGGTGATGGGAGGATGCTAGTTTGTGTCCTCCCGTTACCCTAAGGAGAACTATGGGGAAAAGCCCTGACCCCATAGTTCTCCTTTAAGTGATCAGATATTGGTTATAATTTATCAATGTTCGGCTGGCTGAGTTTCAAGAGTCAGTGTACTTAAAGCATTGAAAGTGTTTCTTTTAATTTTTAAGGCATAGCTAATGTCAATGGAGACACAGGCTCTCTGTCACTTTTAAAGGGAACCTGGCCTAAAAAAAGCCTACGGTAATAAGCTTGTGGTACCTGCTAATAATTGTGTTTTAGTCTTGGATGCATTTTGGATATGAGATCAGGCTGTATGCAGGTTATCGACTTCTCCAATTTGAGATTAAAGCTAGCCATACACTTTCAAATCGTCCGATTTTTTTTTTTTTTTCCTTTTCTTTTGTGCCGTCATCAAACCCTCCATTAAGTTTCCGTTCGAATACCCCATCACGCACAGACCAATGTCGATTTCGGAACGGATTTTCGTTTGCAGTTGTGCAGTGTTCTTGTTGCGGTTTATTTATTTTGTCAGCTGGTCAGCACTGCAGCCAGGCAGTGAGCATTTTCAGGAAGAGAGGTCAGCAGTGGTTGCCTTTATATCGTTAATTACCTGATTCCTTTATTGCCAGGAGAGGGCGGGGCTTATGCTGGATTCTGAGAGGAGGTGAGGCCCTGTGTACAGCCTAGATCTAGGTTCAAGGAGGCTCTTCATCAGGGGTGGGCAACTCCATCCCTCCAGTTGTAAAACTACAAGTCCAATGAGGCATTGCAAGACTGACTGCCAGAGGCACACTGGGATTTGTAGTTAAAGCACAGCTGGAGGGCTAGAGTTGCTCACCCCTACCCTACATAGACGCACAGCAATATGAACAGTAGCGCAATGCAGATGATTGATTTGAGTCGACAGTGTTTGGTTTCCCCTCAATCTTTCTACATGTTTATGTCTACTCTGCTGGATCTTCATTTTCCAGACTTCTTTGTTTGACCATCCGCACAGAATTGCTCATCCTGGTAATATCATTTGGTAGTGCTGCTTGGAGAGAATCTAATAAGCTATTGTTTATTTTGACCCTTAAACTCTTTTTAATATACCTTTTTGGCATTATTAGGTGCTGGATGATGTCACCGGGGAGGAATTTGTCCTGTTTATGAAAATCCTGTCCTCTCTAAAGTCATTACAGACGGTCAGCGGCCGACAGCAGCTAGTAGACTTAGTATCTGAGCAAGCGGGTCTCTATCAGACGCTCAACCCCGCAGACCCCGACTCTGTGGATCGCCTGCTTCAGTGTATGCGGCAAGCTGTGCCTCTTTTTTCTGTAAGTATTTAGTTTGTCTACAGGAGGATCAAATAAAAGCATTGCAATGGTTTGGGTCTGTTTTAAATATTAATGTCTTTTTTTTTTTTCTCCTTTTTTTTGGTAGAAAAATGTCCACTCCACCAAATTTATGACCTACTTTTGTGAGCAAGTGCTTCCCATCCTGAGTTCCCTGACCAGCCCAGCAGAGAGCATTGACGTCCAGTTGGAAGTGAGTGTCGGCTTTTGGTAGCGAAAGTCTTTCTATGTGAAAGGAGTCTCTCTCTCTCTCTCTCTCTCTCTCTCTCTCTCTTTCTCTCTCTCTCTTTTTCTCTCTCTCTCTCTCTCTCTCTCTCTTTCTCTCTCTCTCTCTTTCTCTCTCTCTCTCTCTCTCTTTCTCTCTCTCTTTCTCTCTCTTTCTCTCTCTCTCTCTCTCTCTCTCTCTCTCTCTCTCTCTCTCTCATCTTGCTGGTTGTAACTCTTAACTTTTTTTTTTACACAGATATTGAAGCTTCTGGCTGAGATGAGCTCTTTCTGCGGCGATATGGATAAACTTGAATCAAATTTAAACAAACTCTTTGAGAAGCTTTTGGTAGGTAAATTGCATGTTGTCTGTAATATGTGTAAAAACTAATATTTTAACATTTAATTTTAAGTTTCTAGTGGGGTCAGTATTGTAAGCTTTGAAACCAAATGTTGCTCTTCACTAAGAGCCCATTCACACCAGGGCGGTTGCAGCGCTGATCCCGCAAGAGAGGTTTTGGGAGTTTTTAATTGCGTTTCAGCGATAAATTAACACCCAAAACCGTGGTGATCAGCGCGGTTCCATTGAATCCTGTATGGAAACCGCACTGATCAGCGCGGCAAAAATAGTGCCCCCACGCGACACGTTGCAAAGTCCATTCGGTTGTTAAGTGCGAGCCCATTGGCTGAAGATGCAATCTTTCATCTGGCTGCACTCAGCTCGCACACTGCATACGAAGCTCCATGCCTGACAGCTTTGCTTCGTATGCATGGCTTCGCATGCAGTGTGTCACGGGCTTTAATGATGTTGATGCCCTCCCAAGAACTACATCTCCCAAGAGCCCTTTTCCTACACGCAGTTTGTGAACAAACTCTTTGGGGTAAAGGCAGCAGCATTGTTTTGCTGGCAAAGGAAAAAAGAATGCATTTAGCAGTGGCACTTCTGGCTGCTCACTAGGAGTTCACTATCTAACTCCACTGATGGTGTTTTTCATGGCAGCTCTTAGAATGAATGCAAACAAAGGTCGGTATATTGGAATGAGGAGAGGGTGAGTTCTGTAGTCTAGGAGGGCTGACAATACCACTTGGGATTTAAGTGCCGCACTTGTTGTGTTAGCATCTCACTACAGGAAATTAGGACCTAAATGGATTTCTGGCACGTTAGCAGGTATTTTGATGTGCTATATGTTTTATTTTGGACTTTCATAATATAAGGAGAAATTGTACCGGCCAGCGGATTACAAGCTCTCTGTATTTATTTTTGTCTTTTGCTTTGTCAGGAGTACATGCCACTTCCGCCAGAGGAAGTAGAAAATGGGGAAAATTCTTCCAACGAGGAGCCAAAACTCCAGTTTAGCTACGTCGAATGTTTACTATTTAGCTTCCACCAGCTTGGGCGCAAGAATCCAGATTTTCTTACCGGTAAAGAAGTGAACGCCGAGAAGCTCAAAGACTTCAAAATCAGGTGAGCCCAATATTATAATCGCAGTAAAGGTAACGGCATTGTGTTTTCAGAGGACCGATAAATAGCTAAACAGTTTTGATATATGAAAGGTATTTGCTCACGTTTACTTTACTGTAGCAAGCTTTATAATGAAACATCACTAACTGTTTACTTCCAAATATGTTTTCTAGGTTACAGTACTTTGCCAGAGGATTACAGGTGTACATTAGACAGCTTCGCCTGGCCTTGCAGGGGAAATCTGGGGACGCCTTAAAAACGGAAGAGGTGAATATTGTTTTTTTTTTTAAGTATATATTTGTACGGTATACGGATGTTTTTCTATTCATTGCAGATAACTTGGATTGTAGCCCACATTAGACTTTTAGACATGCAGTTTCATCTGCTGAAAGAAATATTGGATACTAGTCCCCAGTATTGTCTGTGGATCACGTTTCCCTATTAAAGTGAACTTTACATTGAATAAGGGAACCCTAACACTGAGGTAAAATTCAAATGTCACCACACGAATAGAGATCCTTCCTAAAATGTCCTTTGTTACATCACAGTGTAAAAGCAGTAACAAGCATGCTTTAATGACGTGTGGAGGTGGCCATCTTTGTAGAGGCAGAACTTTGCTTTTTCATGTCAGAGTTGATGACTGGTGATCAGAGTATAGGTTGGGGAAAATACAAGAAGCAACAGAAGGGGTGGCGGAAACGCAGATCTACATAATGAGCAAAAGCAGGGAAATGCATCCATTTACAGGTCGTTAGGTACAGATTGCTTTTCAGCAGGGAGCACAGTAATGACACCATCATAAGACCAGCAGTGCTTCCCTGTACAGCTATGAGGCTCGAGGCACCCTCACGTACCAGGAATTTTGCTTCTATTTTCCAAGGGAAATTCCATACTAAAAGTAAATTTTGCTTCTTAGGCACAATTAACACTTCCAGATGTTCCAGACCGTTCCTTTCAAGTTTGGTTCACTTGAAAGGAACGGCCGAGTATTAATTGCAAAGCAAGCAATTAATACTCGGCTGCCCTGCTGCTGAACTCCTTTGCGGTGAAAAGTTAATGTTGCTAAAATCTTCATCTTCCGGCACACTTCTAGTGTGTGAGTTTCTAGTCCCCTGCTGCACTCTGTGCTTCCTTCTGTTGAGCCCTACATCACTATTTTGTACTATAATGATGTAGGGCAGGGGTGCCCATTGGGTAGATTGTGATCTACCAGTAGCTCTCAAAGCTGATGCTGGTAGATCATGAAGGGTGTGAATGGCGGCCCCTTCCATTTTGGTATATTTATTTAGCTGTGCACACATGATTACCTATCAGCCTGAGTCTGCTGAGCCAAGCTCCCTGATACCTTTCTGGTGGTTGAAGTGCTGCTATGTATTACATCAAAAAATATTAGTTTACACAACCTGTTGCACTACACAGTTTGCAAAATACAGCAGCCAGGAGAGAGAGCGGGGAGAGAGAGCGCGAGGAGAGGCAGCCAGGGGAGATAGCCAAGAGAGCAAAAAGAGACAGCCAGGAAAGAAAACGAGAGACAGCCAGGAGAGAAAGGAGAGACAGCCAGGGGGATGAGCCAGGAGAGAGAGGACAGACAGCCAGGAGAGAGAGCGAGGAAGGTTTTTTTCTTCGTTGGTAGATCTCATGTAGCTCGTCATTTGAAAAGTAGATCTTAACACAAAAATGGTGGGCACCCCTGACGTAGGGTCACCGGGTGGAGCCACAGCTTGGGGGACATCGGCATCCGACAGTCCAGACGTGTGACATGTAGAAATTCTTTCGGCAAGATACTCTCTCACACTTGGGCAGCAGGATAGGTGAATATTCAGTTCTTGCTTTGCAGGGAATGCCACTGTTAACCCTTTAAATATAGTTAGTCGCTTTTAAACCAGTAGTAAACTTTTTTTTCCCTCCTTTTTGGAGTTGCTGCAGCCATCACTAACTAATCTCTTGCGGTTTTATTTCTTACAGAACAAAATCAAGGTGGTAGCTTTGAAAATAACCAATAATATAAATGTTTTAATCAAGGTAAGTGCCTGTATATGTGAGGCTGGGGGACATCATTTTATCATTGCAAAACATCAACGTATCTTATAAAAACGGAGACCCTGACGCCTTGCCCATGCAGTTCAAAGAGAAAGGGTCTCAGACGTGCGTATAGATCGATACATACAGTTTAGTCACCAATATGTGCTAAACATTGGGTGGAAAATGAGCTGGACAGGCAATTTTCTCTTATTGAAGGATTGTGTACCACTCACCTTGAGGAGTTTATCAGTAGGAAAATGGAATCCTAGATTGCGAATGCTCTTACTCTACATGTATCTTGATGTTCCGAGGTCGCGGTACTTTTCCCCCTAACAGTGAATGCTAACATGTGAAAATGTCTCGCTTTATTATGCTGATTCCTTCTCTGTATATTTTACTTTTATTGTCCATTTGGTTTATGATACAATACTTTGTAAATCTCACATTGTCCGTATGAAAATAAAAAAAGTTTATTAAAAAAAACAAAACAGAAAGGGTCTCTGCATGCAACTGGAACAATGTGTTTTGTTTTTTTGGGGTCTTTTTTTATTTTAATTTTTATGATCCTTAATCAGAAGTATATTATGGCTTATACAGGGTCAAGAATAACCTATTTATCCAAATCGTTTAGAGTTATAACTGGTAGGGATGTCCAGATACCAGTTCAGATACTTTCATGAACTACCAGGGTTGCTGCAGCTTGGACCTGGCACTGGCTCTCCACCACTGTCCTGAAATCATTAGTTTGTATTTTAGAAAAACTGTCACATGACAATAAACAAAAATGTATCAGTACTTGGAAAAATGGTATCGGCGCATCACTATATATATATATATA